GTGCGCACCAGATTTTCTGTATCCTTCATTATGAATATTTTGAGTTTTTTTGTTTTCCCGTGAAATTTTACATTTAGGATTACTTCTCCTTCGAATTTTATACGCTTTCCTGTAACAGACTTAGCAATTTTCTGAGTGTGTAACATTGTTGATCTAGTAAGCTTTCTCCATGATTGTAGGTTAATTATCGTCAGGTCTGAACCCGTGTCAAGTTGCAATTTTATCTTTTTATTTAAGATTTCAAGTTCCACATATTTCCTTATGTTAGTATTGTCTTCGTCATGCATTATCGTAGCTCTTATCCTACTAGTATCTTTTCTGTTCCTACATTGGGATGCTTTGTGACCCATTCTTCCACACGCAAGACAGTTTTTATATTTAAAACGACAATCCTTATTCCAGTGTAGTCCTTCACATCGATAACATGCAGAAGGAGGGGGCTTATATTTACTTTGATTTTCGTCATTATTTGCCCTGTACGTTGTATTTTTTTCATTATTATAGAATTTTCGTTTTCTTTCCGGTGAGGGTGAAAATCTTTTTTCATTATTATAGAAATTTTGTTTTCTTTCCGGGGAGGGTGAAAAACGTAAATTTTTGTTTAACTTACGAATATGTGATACTCCTAACTCCTCAATATCCTTCGAGTCTTTCTTTATACTTAGACATTTTTGGCAGTCTTCCGATAGTTTTTGTAGTGTTAATCCAGGTTCATTTTGCAGTTTTGAAAGCATTCTTTTGCACATTTCACTATCTTTTGCTGAGACTAACCCTTGTACAAAAATAAGAGACTTGAAATTGTCTGGAGTTAATTTTGCCAACTTGAAATCTTCGCAATGTTTATTCACGATTGCGGCGAACGTAGAATAGTCCTCATTTTCATCCTATACGAGGTTAAGACATTTCCACCTTTTGTGAAAGAGTGACGTTTTCAGGCGGAAATGCTCCATCAGGCATGTAACTGCTTCATTAAACGTTAGATCATTTATCTTCTTTGGCAAAATGTAATCCACAAATTTTGCGTGTTCTTCCGTTCCAAATTTTCTGAGTAATAGTCGTAGCTTTTTTGCTTCTGTCCAGTTTTGACAATCGATGTTGAAGATGTCTTCATGACGTCTGAAAAAGTCCCCGAAATTGTTATCCTCTTCTAGGGAATATTTGAATGTTTCTATCTTGTTCCATACTGCGTCTTGAGAAAAAGTCGCCTCTTTTTCAATATTTTGTTGTTGTGTATTACTCGCTACTTTTACAATTAGCTCCTGGAGTTGTATTTGCCTTTCATAATTTTCCTTCTGCGTTTGTAGTAATTTTTTTCCATTCTTTCTTCGAATTGGAATTGCTGTTCATTTTGGTGTTTAACAAGTTCTACTAAAATTCTTTTAAAATCCTCCATGGTAAGAGTCTTACGAAAAAAACTCGATTTTCCGTATTTTAATCCTCGTAACTCTTTGTTACCCATGCTAAATTATGATGACTAATAAAACAACCTTTCTGATTTGCATTCTATGGTTTTGCATTGTGGATACTGTCGTGGATACTGGCAAAACGGCAATTTTCTCTTTTGAGTCTCCGAGAAATGCAAATTCTTGTCGTTCAAGCTATTGTGGTGAGAAAAGAGAAAATTTTTCTTTCCGTGTAGGTCCCAATTTCTCGTCACCAAATTGTTGTGGTCGGCAAGGGAGAATTTTTCTTTGTACTCTTCCTGTGTGAGTTCGAATTTCCTCGTCGCCAAAGTTGTTGTGGTCGACGAGGGAGGATTTTGTTTGTTCTTCCTGTGTGAGTTCGAAGTCCTCGTCGCCAAGTTGTTGTGGATTCCGGGTTGAAATCGACTCCAGAATTATATTATTTTATTTATTCCTAATTGGCTCTAAAAATCCTGGTGATATTTCTACTACTACGTCCGCGCGATATTTTGGCGGTATCTATCTAAATTATGATGACTAATAAAACAACCTTTCTGATTTGCATTCTATGGTTTTGTATTGTACGGTTAAATTGGTGTGTTTTAAGATGTAAGCACTTTATTGCTTGTTATTGGTTTATAAATATTTTGTCGGCGTGTTTTAATGTTTATATAGCTATTGTTGGCTGAAAATGCTTTTCATGCTTAAAATTAATAAGTTTTTAATTAAGTTTATAATTAACATAATTAGTTCCATTGTGTGAAATATTTTATTAGATATTTTAGTGTTTAGTATTATTTATTAATTTATATTCAAAGTATATTTTATGTAAGAATGTTCTCTTTTAATGTAAAACATATATCTATTGATATCGTAAAATAATTTATTTTCATATTTTAAATCAGGATATATTTGTATTAAGGTGTTTTTGGTAATTTTCATTCGTTTTCGGGCCGGAAAAAATGACATATTATTAACGTCTTCTTCTTCTTCTTCTTCTTCTTCTTCTTCTTCTTCTTCTTCTTTGTGTTGTGTCCCTTCAGAACGTAAACGATCATGGCTCTCCATAATTTCCTGTGCATCGGAGCTCTTAAATTTGATCTTTTTGTTATTTCTCCTAACCATTGTTCCGCCATCCATGCACTGAAGCTCACGAAGTATGTTATGTGTTGTTTACCTCTGTCCCTTTTGCCTTCAATCTGTCCTGTGAGTATCAGATTCTCCAAGCCTTTTTTCCTCATTATGTGCCCAAGAAATTTCAACTGTCTTCCTGATGTTAAGTATGTTTCCTTTTTGTTTCCATTTCCTCTAAACTTCGTTGTTGGTCACATGTTCGGTTAACAGTATCCTCAGCACCATTCTGTAGAACCATATTTCTGCTGCTTCAAATCTCTTGTTCATAATTGAGGAGATTGTACAGCGTTCAATATTATATAGGTGGACTTATCATTTTGTAAAAGACTATACCTGTTTTAAGCTATTACACCAAATTTACAAGCGATGTGTTAGCTATGAAGCCCAATGGAACAATAAACCTTTTCTTGCTGTCTTTAAATACAAATTAAAATGTGGAATCATACTTATTATAAAAGCCAGGTTGTGTGTGTGTCTGTTCGATTATATATTGGATCGGATTTCCTACATTTTTCAACCGATTCCAACAAAACTTCACAGGACTACGTAAAATTAACTTACGCTGGTTGTGACAGCGCCAAAAATTGGAAAAACACAATTGTTTTTGCACGAAATCAATTTGAAAACACGATTAAGAGGCATCACTGTTGCGAGAATGAAAGGGGGACAACTCAAATCGAGTTATACTTATAAAACCCAGGTTGTGTGTGTGTGTGTGTGTGTGTGTGTGTGTTCGTTTATATATGGGATCGGATTTCCTTTTTTCAACCGATTTCAACAAAACTTCACTTTTTTTGGCAGTTAGTGTTTCTTATTGTTTTGCACACTTTTTTTTTATTTTTACATTCAGAATGCTTTAAAAATTCCATTTACAAGACAATTGTTTATAATAAAATTCTATTCAATCGGTTGACTCATAACGATTGAAAACAATGTTTTTGCTTGAGTTTGGGTTTGACCAATTCGTAAAAAAAAACAACAAAAAAAAACAACAAAAAAAAAACTTAAAAATTAAGACATGCGTGTCCGTCAAGCTTAAACAATAATCTTTGTCAATTTTATTTTTCAGTCTTTATGATGATCGATACTTGATCTATCTCTTACTGTTACATACCCGGGCGACGCCGGGCTCTACTGCTAGTTAATAATAAAATTCACAATATTGTTCCCTCATCATTTTGTATTACGAACTGTTGTTAAAAGAAACCCAACGGGTTTATGGGTAGTCTAGTAGCATTTAAATCAGTTATTTTTAAAAACTTTTTTTTATATAGTACGGTCGATGAAGCACACCAGATTCTTTCTCTTATGTGCCATGTCCTTTCAGGACGTAGGTGATCATGGCTCTCCACCTCCCTCTATCTTTTGCAGCTCTCAACAATTTCCTTCCCTCAGCTTTCTCCCCCAGACCACGTTCTGTCATCCACTTGCGTAAGCCCGCCAGGTATGTTACGCATTGTTTTCCCTTGTCTCTCTTTCCCTCTATTCGACCCGTGAGTATCAGATTCTCCAGGCCCACCTTTCTCATTATGTGTCCCAGAAGCTTCAGCTGCCTCTTCCTGATATTAAGTATAAGCCTCCTCTTTGTTTGCAACCTGTCTAAGACCTCATCGTTGCTCACACGCTCGGTCCATGATATCTTTAGCATCCTTCTGTCGAGTCTCTTCTTCATCCTTAAGGAGACCGTCCAACATTCACTGCCGTAAAGAAGGACATATGACACGCAACAGCTCAGTATTCTTTTCTTTGTTACCAAAGAAATCCTGTCTCGCAATACTCAGCTTTTGGAATGTGTCCTTGGCCATCCCAATACGTCTACAGATCTCAGTGTTGCACTTACTGTCCTCTGTCAAGACGCTTCCCAGGTTAGGAAGATCCGTGAAAATTTCCGGGTTTTCTTATTTTAAATTTCTGAAGTTAATGATTGAACAAGCTGCTGGCGAGTTCTACAAGAATAAAATATTCGTATAAATTTCCGTATCGCGTCATTAAATATTTGAGCTTAACAACTTTAACAAAATATTGCAATAACAATAATAAATATGAATGCTGTTATTTTAAGAAGTGTATAAAAATGAAACAGACGTTAAATTCTTCTACCCCCCCCTTCTGCATGTTTTTCTTTCTTTCATTTTCTCAATGAAACCAATTAACGTCTTTTCCCCTCTTTCCACGGATCAAAACAGAATAATCTGTTATTTATGAGGTATTGGTAGGAGACATCAGACACTTTTATCTTCAATTATTTAATTTCTTTTGAGCCAAATCCCCGTGTTACGAACATTTCTATTAATAATTTAAAAATAATTCAGCAGACGACGTTATTTAATTTATGGTAATTAGACTTTTTTGGCTATTTCCTAACTCGGTTTTTGTCGTTCGATACTGTGCGTTTAAAAAACGAGGTCACTATCATTTTTTTTTTTTTTTTCTTCCGTAGTGGGGTTCAATTGACAATGAATCTGCACCGGTTTCCGTACGGTCACTGAAGTTAATCAACGTCGAGTCGGTCAGTACCTAGATGAGTGACCGCTTGGGAATACTAGGTGTTGTAAGCTTGGATGTACGGGTGATGTAATAATGACTCGAAAGCCGAGTTCCAATTGGGTTCGTTATATTCACTTACGCCAAATACCCTTGGGAAAAGGTATCAATCCACTTCTTCACCCCACTCATCACACACGTGAGGGTTAATTAGTAAGACTTGTATCACTAAAACCATTATTATTTCCCCCAAAATAAAATAAAATAAATTTGCGTACAAAATATTTAGATTTCGGCATTAAATAACCTATACAGGTTGATAGGTTGCTATATAAATCACAACCAACCAACAAGTAAATATGACCCCTCACCCATTAACCTTAAAATCGGGATCTGGAGTGTTTAAATTTATTATTGTAACATTGGAAAAACCCGTTATTTTTGGTTGCTGTTCCGATTCTAAGACGCTACTCTTTTATTAAACTCTGGGTTTTTCCAACGTTTTATATCTGTTCTTTTTCTATGTTTAATTCAAAAGTTTTAACACGTACAAATATTCAGATAAGCGGTGAACTATCAAACCTGCAAATCTGTAAAGGTCAGTGTGCGATACTTTTTTTTTTTTCAGTCAGTTTCCTTCTCCCCCTCAGCAGCGTGAAGAGGAACGACTTTCTTGATTTTCTTTATTCATTTAATTTCCCAACTCCCACCTCCTTCGACCACAGGAAAAAAAAAAAGATTATTTTTAGATGAACTTGATATTTTCTCCACGTGTCACGCTGTTGGACAAAGCTTAGTTGTACTGACGTAGGTCTCCTTCTTTCGAGCTCACTCGACATTTTTACTGTCACTTGTGTCTTTTGATTTCGAATTCTCTAACGCATATCCTTCATTTATTTAACCACCTTGATCTTCTTATTTTACCGTACCGAGTCACACCAGGACCTAGTTGATCGTGGCTCTCCACAACTTCTTATTCTTCGTTGTTCTAAGCCAATGATTCCTAACCTTTTTGCCTAATGCATCCTTTTCACCATAAGTCAGAATGTAATTCCCCAATTTCCACGATTCAAAAGGTGCATTCCAAATAATATGTATGAATTTAGGTTATAACGGAACAGGTAAAAATGCACACAAGCCACCAATCTGCTAGTGGGTGGCCCGCTGTCCGACCGCCTAGCAGGATCGTTTCGGAATGTTTTCAATGGCGAACGGTTAGAGGCACACCGGTGGCCCGCCAGTAACCTACTGGTGGCTGCCACCAGAGCACCGCTGGCGTTGCCATCGGACAAGTGGAAAAATAGCGGGTGGGGAACAGCACGAATGATAAAATAAGGAAAAATAAGTCTATTGAAATATGCACTATTGGCCAAAAAAGTTGGTTTTTGAACTAGATACATTTTTTAATATATCATATATACCGTTTTATTTATTTTTTAATATTAGCAAAAAAAAAAAAAAGTAGAATTGTTTAACCGCCATTTGTTAATATAAATTTACACATTTAAAATTTATGAAAAATAATTAGATTAATTAGAATAATAATTTTCACATTTTTACCGTTGCTATTAGTACCGTTCATCAATATGGATATCTTATTGAAAATTTTCAATCTTTTCCATATGTTTTTTTTTTCTTTATATGTGCCATATACCCTTCAGAACATAGGCGATCATGGCTCTCCACTTCTCCCTATCCCTTGTAGCTCTCAATAAGTTTTGTCCCATTGCTACTTCCCCCGAGTCATACTCTGTCATCCACTTGCTTTAGCCCGCTAGGTATATTATGCATTGCTTTCCCATGCCCCTCTCTTACCTCTATTCGACCTGTGAGTATCAGATTCTCAAAGCCTTCCTTTCTCATTATCTGTCCCAGAAATTTCAGCTGCTTCCTCCTGATGTTAAGCATAAGCTTCCTCCTTGTTTGCATCTTCTCCAAAATGTCATCGTTGCTCACACGCTCGATTCATGATAACCTTAGCTTCTTTCTGTAGAACCATACCTCCGTTGCCTCGAGTCTCTTCTTCATCTTTGAGGAGATCGTCCAACCTTCACTGCAGTAAAGGAGGACAGATGTCACGTGGCAGCTCAGTTCTCGCAAACCGGTGTTTCAACGTGATATGGCCCTAAGCTGAATTTTTCCTTTTTCTTAATACTATAGTTTAGCTTTCGCTATTCCAAAGCACCTTCGGATTTTGGTGTCATATTTTTCGTCGTATGTTAAGACACTTCCCACATAATTAAATTTCTGTACATGCTCGATTTTGAGATCTCCAATTTGTAGCTAGCATTTTGGATTTTCCTTTTTGCTGACAACCATCCTGTCTTCTAACAACTGACGGATAGTCTTTTCTTCATTTACTACCTTGTGTAGGTGTTCCTGATGCCATATGTATATCTTATGTTGCTAAGGTTGTGTTCACCAATAATAAATCTTAGTAGGACTTCTAATTCTTTTAGGACCGCATCGCAATATGGGTTAAAATTAAACCGGTGAGAAAACGTATCATTGTCTTACGCCTCTGTTCTATTTCTCTGTATTTACTCAATTTATTTTCATCTTTATGCGAGCGATTTATTACAGATTAATATTATAGGTTATTTTAATACTTTTCCCAAATAAATCAAGTTTTCCTTGCAGCTCAAATAGATATTTGTGTCGTTCCTCATCAAATTACTTTAAAGATAGATATAGGCCTTTCTGCATTTGTATAGCTCGCTCTGATAGCGTTATAATTGTGAAGATCGCATTTCTTGTTCCAGTGTCAGGTTGATATGCCGTAAAAAACAAATCAAATCAAATGTTGTTAAAGAGTTATTTTCGAGTCCTGAAACAGCGCTAGGTGGGTGTAATTTTCACACGGTTAAATAAATCTGTCTGAACGTATTTAAAACTAATGCCCTAATAAAAAAAAACAATTTTTTTCTAATAATTTCATTTTTTCTCTGTTGAACTCTCTTCTGGTTCCTTGCTTCCTCACAATCTTCAAAAATTTAAATGTAACACGAAGATAGAAACTGAAAAGAATTCTTGAATTAAAATAAGCAATTTCTGTTATTTTGAAAAATGAATACAGAAATGTGTCAGATGATTTAATTTTTGATAGGGTTCAGCGTTGTGCTGAACACGAAGTGGGGCATATTAAACATGTTTAATCGATTGTAATCATAACAAATCATGTTTGACGTGATAATATTTATAAATTTTCTTAAACTACTGTAATTTATTTTTGTTCAATAAAAGGTAAACTTACACGTACATTTATTTATATTTATTCATTTACGTGAAAACGCATGAAACTTTTAATCGTGGTCGGCCACTGTTTGCCGTGAATTTAGTTAGAAATATTTTTCTGGTGTTTCATGCGTTTTCGTGCAATCATCAAATGGTCGGCAACTTTTATTTATAAAAAATGGGCATTTTATATTACCTCAGGGTGCACCTCGAAGCGATGTAATGGTTAGGAAGCTTGGCTCGCTAGAACAATTACGACTGAGTAGTGAGTTCGATCCTCACTCGGTGCCCCCTAATTTCGGCTTTGTGCCGCATCTACGCTACGCTTGTAAAATCTATATATTACCTCAGCCAGTTCAAGATTTTACAAGGATCGTTAATGTGCACATACCATTCACACATCAACCAAAGGTAGCGAGGGTGGGATGACAAGATGGTAAACGCCGAAAAATCATCATTACAGTAGTTTAAGAAAAGTTATAAGTATTACTTGGGAAAAAATTTAAAAAAAACGCCAGAATAATATTTTTAATTAAATTCACGGTAAACAGTGGCATTTTATGACCAGACAACTCTTATTTGTGAAATATCTATTTGTGATTATTATATATATATATATATATATATATATATATATATATATATATATATATCAGACTCGAGGAAAAAAGGCAATAAAATCTATGAGATCAGAAGTTTGTGGATGTAGCAGAAAACAGATCATGAGGAATAAAAAGAGTATTTTCAGTTAATCGCTTTTGGCTTGAGTAACTTCTAAAACCATCGGATTTGTATCCACTGAAAACATATAAAATCAAAAATTTGCTGCATTTTGTAGTCAGTCAAATAAAAATTACACTTTGTCTACGCAAATCTTCTAAAGAGATAAGCAAAACTACAAGCCAGCTTCCTTTTCTTCTGTAAACTATGAGTAATGACATTATTTACTATTTACTAATTTGACTATAACCTAATTATCAGCGCCGATATAGTTAATCATTGACTAATATTTCTCTTCTCTATTGATAAACGCAAGGATGGGTCAAATCAATGAACAACTGCATCCGGCTTTAGTTTAAACTAACATAAACAAATGAAGACGCAATGTTTTATCAGCTAGTTTTTATGTATACTTTACCGAGTAACCAAACAGCGTCTTTTCTTTAAGAGCGCATGCGTACATACACTAAGTTTTTCTTACTTGCCGCTCATAAAATGCACAAAGAAACGAGTGTACACCGTTATATTTGATGTATTTACATGGCCTTACCAGATATCTGGTGATAATATGCATGAGACTGTGAGAGATTAAGTTTTCTCAAGCAATCAACACATTCCTCTGAATTTTCATCGTTTTAATATTATTTATTCTTATAAACATTCACCTGTACGGCTAAACTTTTAGTTTAATTTGTCAGAAATGCTACCACGGTAGACATTTTTTCTTACGAGCATGAACGTTTAAAATGTCGAACTTATCAAGGCTGACGCAAGGGTCTTGTGGGCTCCTCCCCTAATCTATGATGGGCTCAACCCCAAATATATGATACAGCCCCCACCACTCTATCACATCTCAAATTTCATAAGGTAGTATTCATATAAAATACAAAATTTATTCTAACCTAATTATGTACAATAATGGAACATATGATATACGGGTGAACAATTCAACTAGAAAAAATGAAAATAAATACAATGTATCTAAATGCAAATTAGAGACATGTCATAATAGAGCACTCCATAAACCAACAAAGTTTTGCGGCAAATTCTAACATCAACGTGGGATTGTTCTTGTTAAAAAGTTAAATAATGTTCGTACAATTCAACAGGTGATATTT